TAAGTCAGTGTTAGTGTTGTATCTGTCTCCATGTTATCACCAAACATGATCCCGGGCACTATGAGCCACACAGACAGGATTAAGTCTGGCGGCATATTGGTTCGGATTACCTGCAGATAATCATCGTTATCAACAGTGCCCAAGTTCATTTGACAGTGAAATAGAAAAGCAGCAGCAAACTAAACCCCCGAACCTTCAATTGTAAAGAGGGCACTGGCTGAGACAGGCCCTCACCTCCCTCACTCTGACATATACTTAAAGCTTACTACCAGACACGAACATGTTCAAAGTGGCTGGACATGCCCGAATGTGCCTTTGAAACATTTAGCGATGACTTTAACCACAGGTTTTGATCTGTTATTAGTAAACTATAGAGGAAAAACATGACATTTAGAATTTTAATTACTTGTTTTTTCTACCTTGCACAAAGAGACTCCAAAAGAGTGAGCAAGAAATACATGATAGGCAGGATCTTAAATCTACATTTATAATGTTCGTTTTAGTGATACCTAAATATGGGTACATTTTACTCTTATGTCAGACACATGTGCTGTGAAATCATTTAGTGGTAGGGTATCCAGTTTAATATGTTTTTGAATTAAAAATAAATAGTATAGTAGTAGATTGAATCCTCATTTGACATGGGGTATATGCTGGGATTTATATAACATCCAGAGCTCTATCTGTCTATTTAGTGCTAATTACAGGTATGTAAACACAAGTAGATCAACGGTGTTATCACAATGAATAGTAGTGTGAGAGCTTTCATTTTAAACTGTGATGTTTGCGGACTTATTTTAGTGTTTTTATTTGAAGAAGAGAGCTAAGACAATGCAAGACAAACTAGTAATTATCAGACTTGGCTTCTAAAGCCCCAGTTTTCTCACTCTTCTCTCATATTGTCTGTTGTGTAATTCTCTAACAGTGTTTGGAAACCCTGAAGGTGTTTCACATGACGTGAGACATTTGACACTATAAGTAGAGCATAGTTTGAGCTTTCTTTATCTTTTGTCACCATCATGCATCAGTGTTCACACTTTTCAAAATACATAGTGCACCACCAGACTTCCTGTTGTGGAAGCTAAGCAGGTTAGTAAAATGTAAAATTTCAATTAGATGTGAACGAACTAACATTACAGTTGACGTGTCATGCTTTGCACTTGCAAAAGCAACAGCTGCAGTAGTTTTACACTTATCTACCATATCCACCTCTGATGACAGGTTTGTGTTTGACTGCTTTGAATGAGCAAACACGTCAGAGACTGATGTCTGTGTTTGTCTGTCTGGTTTTCTTGTTCGGCAGCATTGTTATTAGGAGTGTAGCACAGGCGAGGTAGGTACTAGCATTTTATGGGGGTTTTTTAGGACCCCTGCCCACCAACCCACTGCCTCCTCCTCATTGCTGGGTGCTATGTCACAACATGACCAAGCCTTAAGAGGAATGTAGCCACTTCCACAGCGCTCCTGTGCTCTGTTGCACAGGAGTCCTTATTTTCTGGATTATTAAACAACTTCATACTGATTAGCAATCCTTTAATAACTGAATAATCTGTCATTGTTAGACACGAGAAATATGGGGAAACAAATAAAGGAGGCTTTGTTAGAGTCTATTATTAAAAGGTGTAAGAACCAAAGCCCAAACCACAATCCACTACTAGCTCATCCCATGGCAACATCTAGAGAACTATCCTATACTAAAGCTCTTTGACTGAGTAGCTGCTTGATGACAATGCTATTCCTTGTTTGTCAGCGTATCTCTTAAGTTCCAGTAAAACTGGTAAAAACACACCTATCCTCAGGACTGTCGGGCTGATAGCTGAAATGGTAGCCTGAGTTCCAGCTATTCACCATATATGCCTGTAGGCCATGGCTGTAGCCGGCCCTGTCGCCTGTTTTGAGTTAACATTTCTTTCTACAACCTGCTTTTTTGTCTTTGTTTGTATAACTCTGTTATTAAAAATTTAACAAGTTTAAAAAAAAAGCAAACATTTCACGTCTTATCTAAACTGAATTAGATTCTTCATTCTATCATTCATTCAGTTTTATAGTATCATTAATTGTAAAGATGTTTGTTTGTTTTGGGGGTTTGGGGTTTTTAAAAATCTAAAACTTAAATCTCTAAATTACAAAAGTAAAGACCTTTATTACTTTGAATGGGAAGCATTTTCTTTTCTCTCCATAGGTGTAATATGAGTGTTGTGTTGACTTTGTTTCGGCTCTGGCTGGGCAACTCAGGGAAAATCTGAGACTTGTCCTGAAGCTGCTCTGGTGTTGTGCTGTCTGTATGTTTTTGTTCACCGTCATGTTCGTAGGTGGTCGCAGTCTCTGGTTGCATGTATTCTTTAAGGAACCTGTGTGCCTGGGCAGAATGCATTCTCCTCGTAGTTCTGACTAGTCTAAGAATGGTACTAACCATGTAATAAACAGTGCCAGGTGTCTGCACATATTGTCAAGTATCACTATCAGAGTTGCTTTAAATGAAGTTTTGTACATTTTTTAACCTTTACATGGACTCACGCGTCATATCTTTAACTTTAACAGTGAGTTCTGTTTAGCCATTCTAAGACAATGGCCTGATCAATAGAGTACTATTCCTTTACTAGTATTACTCTGACCTAGTACTACTACAGTTCTAGTGGTAGTAGGAACAATCACAGCTTTACAAACTCTTTGGCTTGGTTTTGTCATAACATTCAGTGTGTTGATTTATTTCATTTCTGCTGACTTCCTATATGTATCTTTGTATCTGTTAACTGAAATGTTTTTTGTGCATCCAGTGAACACAGTCAGATGGCAATCTGTACCAAGGTTTCTGCATTATAATTTTGAGTATTAACTCAGTGGTTTATTTATTTGGTACTCTAGTGACTCTATGCACATGTTCTCAGTAATTGCTGCCCCACCAAACAGGGTGTAACATTATCAGTAAATAATACTTTATAGTTGTATGTAAATTTAACTTCCTTTCATCTTCCTGTGTGGTTTTGTGTGAAATTCTGGCATGATAAGTGCTTGTTGTTATTTGGAAATGTTCGTTGAGACACCCAGTTCAGTGCTGTTTCAGTAAAACAATCTCCTGGCTAAGTGAATGTATTCAAAACATAAATACGTTAATCAGTTAATTAAAAATGTATAAAAACTGGAGTGGCGGTTTAGCTCACTAGGTTGAGCATGCAGTCCATACGCCATAAGGCTGATGCAGAGTCTTCTCTAGGCTCTCTTGGTGATGTTTTTTTGGCAGTGTGATCAGTCCTTGAGATTTCATTTCAAGGTTGTGAAATGGCTAGAAAGACATTGTAACATGAGTCTCAGTGGGCAAAATGAGACTCGACAAGTTTGTCCTTCTGTAGTTGGCAGTCTGGCAAGTCGGATGCTCATGGGATTTATATACATCATTGATACCATGTTAATATAATATTAACAAACACCACATGGGCCTGGTTGCGAGAGGTCATGCTTAATGAAAGGTTTATTTAAATGAAAATACTTATAAATGGACAATTAATTACAGATTACTTGAAGTTTGCTGTGCGCGCAACATTACAAGAAACAAAGAGCGCTGTCTGCAGTGTGGATGAAGCACTTTCAGTCTGAAATAATTATACCACTGATTTGATGTTCCACCCATGGAGACATGCATGAGATTTCAAAATGTTCTGCTTTTTGAGTTTACCGTTAGTGCAAGTTGATTACGCAACAGCAGTCTTTGGTTACTGCAGCTTGTTCAGCTTAGATTGTTCACTGATTCCAGAGTAGCTTGGCATCCATCTAATAATCAGAAATACAAATGACTAAACCTTGAAGTGACTCAGTAATCCTTCCACTACCTTCTTTTATTGTATTTCGGTCAATTTCATTAAATGTCGTGCAAACAATTGGTTATGAAGTCAGCTTAATATGTATTTATATGTTTTTTTTAGTCCACTAAAGTTACCATAGGGATGCTGACCTCTAATCTCACGGATCACTGTTAAGCTTATTCACTGCAGCCTCTCACTCCTGCATGAACTGACTAGGTATCGGACAGGTCTTTGAGTGGGCAGTCTCAGCTTTGCATAATGTTTCATTAGAGCAATAAAGTAGTTTGCATTGCCAGGCCTTACCTCCTGCTTGGGGAGTTTTGACAAATGAACAAGTGTTGATGTTTTCAAAATGCGTATGCAGCAACTAATACGGTCTCTTAAACAAACAGTGCTCCTGAACAGCACCACATGCAACGCCTTTGAGATTTTTTTTAACTAACTAATTAACTACTAACTTATGAACAAACTGATTGACCTCACTAGCGAGAGGGCGCAAGATTGCAATGAAGTTTCTTAAATTTGACTCATTAGATTTGAGTTGCACTTCTGCCCTGTTTTATGTCTAATTTTAAGTTGTTCTTGCATTAGGTGCAGTGCTGTAAGTACAGTGCTAGAATAGTGTTTTGAAAAGGCAGGGAGACCTTGTATCCTAGAAATGAGGTCACCTTGTTAGGTGGTGGAGCAGGATTAGCTTCTTACTCCCCCGGTCCATATGTCTCAGCTGCTGTTACAGCTTAATTTATTGTGATTCCTTTTTTCAGCCCTGCTCTTTCAAAGGAACAATAAAAAGTACTCACTAAATGCCATTACTTCATGCTGGTTTTGCACAGTCTTGTTTCTAAACTGACGTCTTCAGAGTAATTAGCAATGCACACATTAGCAGAGCTATCGGTAAACTGTGGTTTGTGGGGGGAGCACCTCTCACTAAGCTGTCACTAGTGATTCTAAAGACTTAATGGCATAGCTTGTCTGTGAAATGAACTGCACAGGGCAGGGGCTTAAGTCTTTATGACTTACTGTCTCCTGGCTGAGCTCAGATGTGATCAAAACTATAGACATTTGTTTTGTTTTTGTTTTTTTTACTGTAAATATGCATTTCCTACAGAGTAATGGCACTGAAGACAGTTCGAAGTAAAGTTTATGTTGTTGTAATGTGTAAAGGCTTTAACCCCCCTCTCTTTCTTTCATCCTTTGCAGATGAACGTGAAGCAGTACAGAAGAAAACCTTTACCAAATGGGTAAATTCTCACTTAGGCCGAGTGACCTGTCGCATTGGTGACTTGTACACCGACCTACGGGATGGGCGCATGCTAATCCGCCTTCTGGAAGTGCTCTCAGGAGAACAGCTGGTTAGTATCACAGAGGAACTAATGCTTTATGTCCCAATCCTGACCCATACCCTCAGGATGACCCTCACAAGTCAGGAGGAAGGAGAAATCATGTGCTTCATTTCTTGTTTTTTGTTTTTTTTAAAAATATGTGATTTACTTCTTTTGCTTCTACTTGCTTTTCTTTTTTTAAACTCCTGCCAAGCCCTGTCTTCTTCAACAATGTCAACCTATGTCAACTTGTATTTTTCTGCTGCTTCCCCTAGCCAAAACCTACTAAGGGCCGCATGCGTATCCACTGCCTTGAAAATGTTGACAAAGCCCTACAGTTTCTTAAGGAGCAAAAAGTTCATCTGGAAAATATGGGCTCACATGACATTGTGGATGGGAATCACCGTCTCACCCTGGGTCTCATCTGGACCATCATCCTTCGCTTCCAGGTAATATATAAAGTAGCTGTGATGAGCTCTACAGATTTTCCCTCTCACCTCAGTCACCATGTTGCTGAACTTGGGCTTTGGGATGTCAGGTCTCTGGATTTAGCCATGCCCAGAAAAACTGAATTATTAAAAGTTAACATAATTTTAAAAAGTAATTCTTTATGCCATTATTGTAGTTATGAACTTACTGTTGTTACTTGACTTCCTTAAATGTTATACACCCCACTACTGCAATAACATTTGAAGGTCAGTTATTATTGAAGCTCCAACCTGACTGGATGTGTACCATACTTACAGATTCAAGACATCAGTGTGGAAACTGAGGACAATAAGGAGAAGAAATCAGCTAAAGATGCGCTGCTGCTTTGGTGCCAAATGAAAACTGCTGGGTAAGAAAGGAGCAGTAAAAGAGAACCAGAAGGGTTGAATTTTTCTTTGTTGAGCTAATGATTAATGAATTCTTATCTGCCCTTTTCAGATACCCAAATGTGAATATACACAACTTCACTACCAGTTGGAGAGATGGTCTAGCGTTCAATGCCATCGTGCACAAACACAGGTCATTGACTTCTTCATGTATTTCACATCACTGATAACAGCTACAGTAAAAGCAGTCCTTTTTATGCATTTACTTATTCAGTGTAATTGCAGTTTTTGTTTCTTACTGTAAGGTTTTTTAGATAACTTAGTCATCCTCCAAATCAAAAGGGAGTGTTGTATTTTAATGGTTTTCATTCCCTTCGTAATGAGGAGCACCTGTCGCAGAACCATTTCCCATCTCTGGGGTGTTTTTATCCCCTTTTCTATTTAGGTCTCCACTTGCTCCTCCCATTCTTTAGTCTGCAGTATGCCTGAAAGGATGAAAATAAATAGGGAATAAGATGACCTAGATCACAGAAATTATAACCCACTTATTTTCTATTAAGAGCCATACTTGATACCCCAGTTGCACACTCTGCTGGTAACTCATGAATAGCTAACATTTAAATGGAGCTGTAAAGTAGAAGCCAAAGGTGTAGCCTAAACACATATGACTCAAACAGAGGAGAGCATATTGTTCCTTACAATGACTGCATACTGTGAGGGTGATAAGGGTGATACTTGATAGATGAAAGCCAACATGGCTTTCAGAGCAGTTAGTGAGCCGTAGGGTAGTTACGCAAACCACTGAGCTGTCTGTCGTTTACATTATCATGCAAGAAATTACATTATGCTCAGTCCTTTTTGTCCTCATTTTATTTTTTGTGAATGCATTCATGCTATAATATCCTATAGGTTTTAATAAAATATACTCACCCGAACGCCTTTCATACTTTTCTACCACCAACCAGCAACTGTAAATGAAAGCATCATTCAGGCATTAGTTTGCAGGTGTGGTTTTCATCCATGATCAGAAGCCTTTTTTCATGCAGATGACTTCATCCAGTTCTAGAGGAACATTTTATGCACCTTGGATTGAAAACATTTTCTTCTGTACTACAACAAGTTGCAATAAGTCAGCCGATATTCGTATTTGCTTGCACCTTGCACTCTTCTGTAACCCCTTCTCATTAAAGTCACAATTATTTTTTCCAATCCTCTGCAGACCCGACCTGATTGAGTTTGACAACCTGAAGAGGTCCAACGCTCACTACAATCTCCAAAATGCTTTCAATGTGGCTGAGAAGGAACTGGGGCTTACCAAGCTGCTGGACCCAGAAGGTGAGTGTTTAAAGCCTCAACAACAACAAAAGCGCTCTTGTAAGTCACATTGATGGCCTGATCTGTCTGCTAAGGCACTAAGCTGTTGCCTGAAACAGATTGGCGAGAGTTTGGCTATAGAGGATTACTGCAATAAATTTTAGATTAGGCAACACTGCATCACTGTAGCAAGTCAGCTATAGTGACATAACAAAAAGCATGATTAAAGATATAAACACTTTCCCACGTGTTATTCAGAGTGTTTTGATGCAAATATTATAGTATATATAATATAAATACCATGTAAATATTTATATTAACCATATTATTTTTTTTTTTTTCAAGATGTCAATGTGGATCAGCCTGATGAAAAGTCTATAATTACCTATGTGGCAACTTACTATCATTACTTCTCCAAGATGAAAGCCCTGGCAGTGGAGGGCAAACGAATTGGCAAGGTTAGTTTTGTGTGTATACATTTATGTGAGTGAAAGTGAGTAGATGTACACTGACTTTATGTCCCCAGTTCAAATAATACTTTTCTCTGCACTTCAGGTGCTCGACTATGCTATTGAGGCCGACCAGCTGATAGAGAAGTATGAGACCCTGGCCTCTGAGCTGCTGCAGTGGATTGAGCAGACCATAGTGACACTCAATGATCGGCAGCTAGCTAACTCTCTGAGTGCTGTACAGAACCAGCTCCAAGCTTTTAACTCCTACAGGACTGTGGAGAAACCTCCCAAGTGAGTGTCAGCTGGGTTAAGTGAATGAGTCAGTGCTTGGTAATCAATTATAATCCAAAATGGTGACGCTATGCAGTACGTTAACTATCAGTGTCTGATGTCCTCAGATTTACAGAGAAAGGAAACTTGGAGGTTCTTCTTTTTACTATCCAAAGCAAGATGAGAGCAAACAATCAGAAGGTTTACATGCCAAGAGAGGGAAAACTCATTTCTGACATAAATAAGGTATGGCTTGTTCTAGAAAAAGCAAGTACAGCCTTCCAACTCAATGTTCGTTTTGTAGATTCTGGATGATACAGGCTTCCTGGCTTATATTTGCATGGCAGGCATGGGAACGACTGGAAAAGGCAGAACATGAACGTGAGCTGGCACTGAGAAATGAGTTGATTCGCCAGGAGAAACTGGAGATGCTCGCTGCTCGCTTTGACCGGAAAGCTGCTATGCGGGAGACATGGCTGAGCGAGAACCAGAGACTGGTGTCTCAGGTAAATTGAAAAAACACAAACAAAATTTGAATTCCTGATTTGAATGCAGTAAATAGATTTACAATAATGCAATCATGGGCTTCTTTTTCTCTGATATTAGGATAATTTTGGAACCGACCTGGGAGCAGTGGAAGCTGCCACTCGTAAACACGAGGCAATTGAGACAGACATTGGAGCATACTGGGAGCGTGTGGCCGCAGTGGAGGCTGTCGCCAAAGAGCTGGAGGCAGAGGGATATCATGATGTGCGGCGCATACTCGCACGAAGGGATAATGTGCTTCGACTCTGGGAATACTTGAAAGAGCTTCTGGCTGCACGCAGAGAGCGTCTGAATGCCCACCGTGACCTACAGAGGCTGTTTCAGGAGATGCGTTACATCATGGACTGGATGGCAGATGAGAAGGTAAAGCTACCACAAAGAAACAGAAGCTTACATAAATTTGACTGCGCTTTGTGTTGAATTACTACTTTGATTCCTGCATTCTCTTGAGGTTTTAATTAGCAAAAATGAGTTTCCTAATCCTCAATTAACATAATTGTTTTTCACATATGTCCCCGACAGCTTTAGTGTCAGCACTTTATAGCAGTAATTAGCTTTGTGCAGGCCTAGCCTGATTGGTGTTACCTTTCTTTGCTGGCTTTACTGAGGTCGACTGAGGTAGACTCCAGTGACTAGAATTACGCGCCTTTCTTCTGTGTTTTCCAACTTCGTTGTACTATTGTACTAAGAATGACTGTGCAATGGCAATAAAGAGTTATCTTAAATGTGCTGACATTTTGATTGGCCAAAGGAAGCGCCAGTAATGCCGGATTACCACTGACACATTTGCCAATATATCAGACCCCTTGTTTGGTTTAAATAGCTGAACAGTGTGAAGTATCATTTATGCTATGTAATTTATACTGTATAATCCAAACTGGCTAAAACCTGACTTCCATGAATGGCAGTAGCAATGGGAATAGCAGTTGTGGGAACCATTTTCCTTTTACTGTCTACATATGTGCAGCTAGCTAACGTTACAGCCCAGCTGCTTAGATTCTGTCATGCTGTCACTAGCATCATCTTCTTATCTCTGATAAACAGATGCTTTCTTCTCCAGAGAGATTGTGGTTGGTAAAACACAAAGTAATTGTAAAATGAAATTACTCACAGGTTTTGCAGATTTAAATGGATAAATCACACTGAAAGCAAGAGATAAAATTTATAGATATAATTTTGGGCTGACCTGACCCTATAAGGATATTATAAGTAACCAATAGAATGGGGTAGTATAAAATCTCAGCTACTTGGATGTGACTCGTCTATAGCTCTGAGTGATGTGTTTGTAACCCAATATGTGAGAAGTCACCAAGCACTAATGATTTATTAGCATTTTTATATTTAAAAATGACGTTTATGTTGTGGCAAGTTGAAAAACAATCGTTATTTATTGAATATATATTTAGTTAAATGTCGATTTTCACAAGATAAAACTGGGAAATATTCTACTGGACTGTGCTTTCTGTTTTCAGGGTCGTCTGCAGTCTCAGGACAGCGGAAAACATTTGCATGATGTGTTAGACCTACTGCAAAAGCACAATCTGGTAGAGGCTGATATTTCTGCTCAGGCAGAGAGGATCAAGGCAGTGCAAGGAGCTGCAAACCGCTTCACTTCCCATGAGCAGGGTAAGTCTTAAAAAATGGTCTTGCACATTTTGTGTACAGAGTATGCATTTTAGTCTGACCCTTTGTGCACACTGTCTAAATTCTGTGTATTTCTGCCTTTTTTTTTTTTAATTGCAAGCCTATAAACCTTGTGAGCCTGGACTAGTTAGTGAGAAGGTTGAGCTGCTGGGTCAAGCCTATGAAGAACTTGGTCAGCTTGCTGTGAATCGCAGAGAGCGCCTAGAGGACTCACGGCGTCTGTGGCAGTTCCTGTGGGATCTCGGAGAGGAGGCAGCCTGGATCCGAGAGCAGGAACAGATCCTGGCTAGTGGAGACTGTGGCCGTGACCTTACTTCTGCCCTTCACCTACTCAGTAAACATGAGGCTTTCAGGGATGAGATGGCAGCCCGCTATGGCCCCCTGAGTAACAGTATTGCTGCTGGAGAAGATCTGGTTAAAGAAGGGCACTTTGGAGCTTCGGAAGTAACTGAGAGGATTCAAGACATCCGTGCACAGTGGGCCCATCTGGAGGAGGTAAATGTTCATCATCAATTCTAAGGTGCTTTCTTCAAATATTGCATTTTTACCCATAATATTCTTATTTTTGATGCTTCTCAGACAACTAAGCAAAGAGAGCAGAGCCTTAAGGAAGCCGTGGCCCTGCATCAGTTTCAGACGGATGCCAATGACATGGAAGCATGGATCATGGAGACACTTAGACAGGTATCCAGTCAGGAGGTGGGCCACGATGAGTTCTCTACCCAAACTCTAGCTCGCAAGCAGAGGGAGATAGAAGAGGAGATCCAGAGTCACCACCCCCTAATTGACTCTCTGCACGAGCAGGTCCAAGCACTGCCACAGGCCTATGTACATTACCCTGAAGTACGTGTGCTTTCTTTTTCATACTTCTTCAATGATTGCATGCTGTTTGTAGTACTAAATTACTGCCTATTGCTGACTGTAGGTGGATGGTCGTCTGCCTGCTATTGAACAACGTTATGAAGAACTGGAGACCCTGTCAGCAGCTCGACGCCAGGCTCTGGAAGGTGCCCTGGCCCTCTACCGCATGTTCAGTGAAGCTGGTGCCTGTCAGCTCTGGGTGGAGGAAAAGGAACAGTGGTTACATGGCATGGAGATCCCTACAAAGCTGGAGGACTTGGAGGTCGTACAGCAAAGGTGAGTCTGTGGGTGAGGGAAGGTTCGAATGCCAAAGATGATGACAGATTAATTATTTTTCTTCAAAATCTTTTCATGTTTGAAAGACTAAGACGGACACTTGTAGTTGTGAAATGACATTACATGTAATCGCGGAAATTAATGTTGATGACATAAAGCAAAGATGAAAATTGTACATTATATTAATCTAAGCTCTAATCTTAAAAATAAACAGTCAGTGTTTTTAAATCTACTATAATGTCTAGAAATGTCTATGATAGATAGAATGAGTGAATTAATCATGGTGTTTCATTCATGGATATAGATTTGAGACACTGGAACCTGAGATGAACAACCTAGGAACCCGTGTCACTGATGTGAACCAGGTGGCAGAGCAGCTGCTGAGCTCAGACAACTGTAACAAAGACCAAATCCACCAGACAACAGACCAACTAAACAACAGGTCAGAGCTACATTTATGAATTATTGTAACACTATTTCTGCTGAGGAATGTGTATTATTTAAAAGGCGTGCAGGTAGCATTTTAAGCCTGGTCTGTGTTGTCTCTAGATGGAAGGAGTTTCAGCAACTGGCTGGACAAAAGAAACAAGATCTTGAGTCGGCTCTCAACATCCAGAACTACCAACTCGAGTGTAATGAGATCCAGACTTGGATGAAGGAAAAGACCAAAGTTATTGAATCTACTCAGGGTCTTGGCAATGACTTGGCGGGAGTGATGGCACTACAACGCAAACTCACTGGCATGGAGAGGGACCTTGAGGCTATCCAGGTATGGGAGGTGTAAATGTAATGGGTGGAGGGTGGGACCAGAACACCAGTGAAACAAGGCAAAATGAATATAGTATTATTTAGGGTTTTGTGATGAGGTATTTTAGTATAATATATGCAATTTAAATATTTTTCTTTATCTTTTCAGGGAAAATTAGATGACTTGAGAAATGAGGCAGAAAAGTTGGCCAAGGAACATCCAGATCAAGCAGGAGAGATCCAAGGACGCTTGGCAGAGATTCAAGAGGTGTGGGAGGAACTGAACGCCACCATGAAGCGACGGGAAGAGTCACTGGGGGAAGCTAGCAAGCTACAGGGTTTCCTTAGGGATTTGGATGACTTCCAGTCCTGGCTGTCCCGCACCCAGACAGCCGTGGCTTCAGAGGATATTCCCACTTCTCTGCCTGAGGCTGAGAGTTTGCTAGCCCAGCATGAGAGCATCAAGAACGAGGTGGATAACTATAAGGAGGACTATGAAAAGATGCGTGCGGTTGGTGAGGAGGTCACCCAAGGTCAGACAGATGCCCAGCACATGTTTTTGGCCCAGAGGCTCCAGGCATTGGACACTGGCTGGCATGAGTTGCGGCGCATGTGGGAGAATCGGCACAGCCTGTTGGCCCAAGCCTTTGACTTCCAGACTTTCCTGAGAGATGCAAAGCAGGCAGAGGCATTCCTTAACAGCCAGGTTAGGAAAATACTCTTCGACAATGAAATAACAACCTTTTGCCTTATTGGTGCAAAGCAAATAACTGCACGTTTCAGAGAAAATGGATCTGATATTCTATGAAAAATTCTTCTTTACCAGTTCACACATTTTTTAATGTCTTACTCTGTTGTATAAATAAACAGGAAAAAAAGCCTAAAAAAAAAAGTAAAAATCACTGGAATTCGATAATTACCTATGAAAACTGCATATGAGACGATGTTTAACATTCCTTTTGTGTCCATCTCTGCGTAGGAGTACGTGCTGTCCCACACAGAGATGCCCACCAGTCTTCAGGCAGCAGAGGAGGCCATTAAGAAGCATGAGGATTTCCTCACCACCACAGAGGCCAGTGAAGAGAAAATAACTGGTGTGGTGGAAGCTGGAAGACGCCTCATTAATGACTCTAATGCAAACTCGGATAAGATCCAGGAAAAGGTTGATTCAATCCAGGAAAGGTTAGAGTAAAAGAAGGAAGAAAAACTGATATTTATATAACTTTTTATTATTTACATTTTTAATTAGATGTTTGAAGGCTAAACATTTTTTCCCGTTTATTTTCTCCAGACATCTTAAGAATAAAGAGGCTGCAAATGAACTGCTGACCAAGCTTAAGGATAACCGGGAACTTCAGCACTTCCTCCAAGATGGACAAGAGGTAAGAATATGGCTTAGTTGAGTACTAATGCAAACTATTGCATCTTGATATTTACATTGAAACTGAAACTTCCATTATGCTGTTGTCTTTTTCATAGCTCACCTTGTGGATAAATGAGAAGATGCTGACGGCTCAGGACATGTCTTATGATGAGGCCAGAAATCTTCACAGCAAGTGGCAGAAACACCAGGCATTCATGGCAGAGCTGGCCTCCAACAAAGACTGGCTCGACAAAATTGATAAGGTGTGGCCAGTTAAATCAGTAAATGTATAATCATAACATCCATGTCATTATAATTTAATTTCTTTATTTACCTTCCCTTTTGAAAAACTGGAAAATGGCACTGACTTTGACCAAATGGGACATTTAATAACGTTCAAGCTTGTTTTTGTGTCTCATCTCTAACAGGAGGGTCAAGCACTGGTTGCTGAGAAGCCTGAGCTGAAACCTGTTGTCCAGCAGACCCTGGAGGACCTGCAGCGTCAGTGGGAGGAGCTGGAGAGCACAACTCGCACGAAGGCTCAGTGCTTATTTGATGCTAACAGAGCAGAGCTCTTCACACAGAGCTGCTCCGCTCTAGATGTTTGGCTGAAAAACCTTGAAGGTCAGCTGCAAAGTGATGACTATGGAAAAGATCTGACCAGTGTGAACATCCTCCTCAAGAAGCACCAGGTACACTACATAGTACAGAAAAAGCACTTTTAAAATTAGTCTTACAAATACATTTTTAAAATGGGCGAAAAAAGTCTCACTTTTTAAACATGTTCAATATTACATATAATCAAATGAATGTGGTGCAAGTAGCCATGTTTGCTTAGTGGAGCTAAATGTTATGCATTTGTTTCTTTAATGTTTGTGCTCTCTCTATGTAGATGCTGGAGCATCAAATGGAGGTCAGAGAGAAGGAGGTGCAGGCCCTGAAGTCTCAGGCTCTGGCTCTGTCCCAGGAAGATGCCGGACTGGCTGAGATAGATGGTCAGCAACGGCATGTCACCGACAGCTTCGCCAACCTCCAAGACCCACTCAACCTCAGGAGACAGCAGCTGCTCGCCTCCAAAGAAGCACATCAATTCAACAGAGACCTGGAGGATGAAATTGTGAGTGGGATAACCTTAGTGATTCCATCAATAAAATAAACAGTTTCTGACAAAATATATCCTGATATTAAGATAATTAATAATCAATCTTTGCCTCTCAGCTGTGGGTGACAGAAAGGATGCCCCTAGCAACCTCCACAGACCATGGAAAAGACCTGCCCACTGTACAGCTGCTAATCAAGAAGAACCAGGTAAAGTTGCAGCTTTTTCAATATATTTTGAAAAAGTTACAAATTTTCAGTATTATTTTTAGGTGTTGCATTGTAAGTAGCTTAAAGGGCAAAGGTTTGGTATTGATTACTCATAAAATGTGGTCTCATTTTCATATAAGTCACAGTCACAGTCGAGAACAGCCTGAATAAATTTACAGTACAAAAATAATGTATTTTTATGTCTTTATTGAACATTGACCACAGTCATAGAGATAAGACGTAATTTTATGGGTAATCAAGTTCCAATCTGGGTAATCAGGTTCCAAACTTTGACATGCAAGAATCTAAATACTTTAAACAGACACTTGGACTGAGTTTAGAGAGATTTTGAGGAGTAGGGAATGTTAGCCAACTGAGAAAGTTGAATATTGTCTCTGGTTGTGAATCAGACTTTGCAGAAGGAGATTCAAGGCCATCAGCCTCGCATTGATGACATCCACAGACGAGGCAAGACTCAGACCCAGGTAGATGGTGAACGCCAGTCTGTTCTGGAGGATCGCCTAGTTGAACTGCAGAGCCTTTGGGACCAGTTGATCGCCGAGACAGACAAGCGTCATGCCCGTCTAATAGAGGCTAATCGTGCCCAGCAGTTCTATGCTGATGCTGCGGAGGCAGAGGCCTGGATGGGAGAGCAAGAGTTGCACATGATGTCAGAAGAAAAAGCCAAGGTAAGCTCGTGTAAAGTGAGATTTAATTGCTTTTTTTCCCTACATCTTGTGCTTGAAGAAAGTTGATAATTTTCTCTTTTTCTCTCAGGATGAGCAAAATGCTCTAGTGATGGTCAAGAAGCACCAGATCCTTGAGCAGGCACTTGAAGACTACGCCCAAACTATCCACCAACTGGCCAACAGCAGTCGTCTCATGGTCAACAATGAACACCCAGAGAGGTGAGAGCACAAGACGTTGTGAACATTTTCAGATGCCGCACTTCACCTTCTATAAATAGAACAGGACACCCATAACCTCATCTCTCTCATTTTCAATTAAACAGCGAAAGAATCACCTTACGACAAGCCCAAGTTGACAAGCTGTACGCAGGTCTGAAGGACCTTGCTGAGGAGCGTCGGGGACGGCTTCAGGAGAGGCTGAGGCTGACCCAGCTGAAGCGGGAGGTGGATGACCTGGAACAGTGGATTGCAGAGAGAGAGGTGGTTGCTGGCTCCCATGAACTAGGACAGGACTATGAACATGTCACAGTGAGTTTTTTTTCCTCTCAGTAGCATACTTTGGAGACATGAAAGCTCAAAGAGATTTAGCTGAATTAATTATGTTGCTCCCTTTTGCCCTGTTTTTTTCTTTTTCTTTGTACAGATGCTGAGGGACAAGTTCCGGGAGTTTGCTCGTGACACCAGCACTATCGGCCAAGAGCGTGTGGATGGTGTAAATGCACTGGCAGATGATCTGATTGAGTCGGGTCATCCTGAGAACGCCAGTGTTGCTGAATGGAAAGACGGTTTAAACGAGGCCTGGGCTGACCTGCTGGAACTGATTGACACACGCACGCAAATGTTGGCAGCCTCTTATGAGCTGCACCGCTTCCATCAAGATGCCATGGAGGTGCTTGGACGTGTTAAGGAGAAGAGGGAAGCACTGCCTTCTGAACTTGGCCGTGACCTCAACACTGTCCAGCATCTGCACAGACAGCACACCGCTTTTGAACATGACATCCAGGCCCTCAGCGGACAGGTCAGTTATCACTTGCTAAAAGTGATCTCATTTTAGATGGCGAAACTAATATGTGAATACGAGACCAAATATCCCTCTGCTCCTTTGAACTCCTAGGTGAATCAAGTGCAGGATGATGCTGCACGCCTGCAGAAGGCCTACGCTGGTGAGAAAGCGGATGACATTCACAGAAGCGAACATGCTGTGACTTCTGCCTGGGAGGGCCTGCTCGAGGCTGGCGAGGCTCGCAGGCTCCTCCTGCTGGACACCGTGGAGAAATTCCGCTTCTTCAACATGGTGCGAGACCTCATGCTCTGGATGGATGGTGTGAACCTGCAGATTGACGCACATGACAGCCCAAGGTAAATGTCATTTTTTGCTTAAATTTCCACTTACTATAAAATAACTTCAACAATAACTTGTTTATTCATATATAACCTGCCTCTCCTATCTCCTGTGGGTTGTTTTTTTTATAGGGATGTATCTTCTGCAGGGTTAGTAATTGCCAATCATCAAGACATCAGATCAGAGATTGACGCTAGGACAGACAGCTTCACTGCTTGTGTTGAGATGGGAAATACTTTGATCAACAAAAACCACTATGCATCTGATGAGGTATTTTGCAGTGGGTCACATTTACGGTTGGCTTGAGAGAGAACAGTGCATGTTTACAAAAAACAAAAAAACATGTTGACTCAAGAACTGATATCTGAACCTGTTCACCTATTTACAGATCCGAGAAAAACTGACTCAACTCCAGGAAAAAAGAGATAAGATCAACAAAAAATGGCAAGACAAGATGGACCACTTACAAATTGGTATGCATGCTTCACATTTTTGGACTGCACACGGGTGCATTTAGGCCAACAGAGCCGTGGCAAAAGTGCATGGTGTTGTAGGCAAGTTGCTACACGCAAGAGATGGTAGATAACATGCAAACCGGTACCTCCGGTTTAAAGGTCTCTTTATGCAACTGCAGCATTGTACATTGAATTATAATTCTTTTTTTCTCATCCTCTCTGTGTTTTCTTTGTTTTTCTCTCTATATTGTGGCCTTTGGTCATCTTCATATCAGTGCTGGAGGTGTTGCAGTTCGGACGTGATGCTTATGTGGCAGAGTCGTGGTTGGCTGGGCAAGAACCTCTGGTGCGCGCAGCAGAGTTGGGCTCAAATGTGGATGAAGTAGAGAGCCTAATTAAGCGCCATGAAGCCTTTGAGAAACTCGCCACGGCTTGGGAAGAGCGCTTCGTGCAGCTGGAGAAGCTCACTACAGTAAGTAGAGAGATTTGGCTTGTTCTGGAGTACACTGGTAAATGCAGGATGTGTAGGATATAGTACATTCTGCATCATCTATAATTTAGACAATAGAAACCCGACTCCCTTGGTATTACACTAAAAAATGGCTAATTCTTTTCCACTGTTTAGCTTGAAGAGCAAGAAAATCAGAGGAGGCGGGAGGAAGAGGAGAGAGCGAGGCGACCTCCTACTCCTCCAACAGTAGAAGAAGTGCCACAGTCTGAGACAGAAACTCAACCACATGATTCTGCAGCCAGGTACGCCAAAGAGAAGACTGGGTAGAGCACAAGAGTGTTCGTGTAAAGCAAAAACACACTACGAGAGAAAAATGAACATGCTTTCTTTTCCCTCTGTAACACAGAACCAGTCTGGACCAGACCACTCTCAATCAGTCCGTGTCAGTGAACGGAGTACACAGCGACAATGACACATCACAAGTAAGATACGCTTTGTGTGTGTATGCTTCAAGTGCTTCATTGATTTTTACAGAGTTTCCAGCATAATTTAACATGTAGTCCACCGTGTTGTCTTCCTTCATCTCACACATTATTAGATAGGTCATTAAAATTCATATCCATCAGACAGTTTGATCGAACTTATGAAGTGTAATGCCAAGCTGTATATTAGCAAGCAGTTGTGTTTTGCTTGACAGATATGTTTATTATATGTAGCCACTCGTTGGGTTAGGTTCTGGAAAGAAAACTGTGTTACACTTTAAATTCATACATGTTATATGAGTGATTCTCTTCAGTGGCAGATGAAAACAAGTACCCGGTGACTTCATGTGTCAGAGGTGATGGATTGGCTGCTTGTGGGCAGCACTGTTGCAAACCTCTGCAACTGATGCTACAGAGAAAATCACTAAATGAACGAGAACTATTTCTGTGTTTCTGCAGTTCTAGAAGTGCAAGCCATATCCTGACGTTCATCTTTTTGCCCCAGACTTCTTAACAATTTCTTATTGCGTTTTTGCCAGCAGTCATTATCGCTATCGTTGTCAGTGGGAAAGAAATCAGAGCCTAAACGTGTGTGTAAGCCAAAGCAGCAGGAGCGTGTGAGTACCAAGTCACGGTCAGCTTTGTAGCTACCCCTCGTCCCCTTCACAGCCTCCGCTCAGCTCCTGGTCAACTGCAGTGCCTTTTTCCTTCTACTGAGAAGCCATTGCTCTCTGTCACAGATGCAACCATCGCTTTATTTATTCATGAGCTACAGCTATCATTAACGAGCCCCATCGCTGTTTAAAGGCATGATGCAGATTCATGAACACACTATTTTCATGGATCAAATATGCAGTTATATATTTATATGTGCTCATATTGACCAGGACAGGAGTGACTGTAAATGTGGAGCCCAAAGTAAATGTGGTGATAAATGTAGCTGTTCAAAGCTAATTTATATGTAGTTTGTTTTAGTCTTTATCCATGTGTGTGAGTCGCCTTTGAGTGTCAGTCTTTTGATGGAGTTACGTGAGAATCCTTTGTAGAAAAGTACGTGACACAAAAGGTGCCCTGAGTTTCCGTTTTGTACTATAGTCGCAGTACTAGAAGCAAAATCCTGTTGTCTGTGGATGTTTTTTAAGGTTTATAAGATCAATTAAAGCCACAACACTTAAGCTGCAGTATCTCTAAGATCTCAACATCTCCAGTCTTAGAGGTGAACTGTAATTGAGCAATAGTGTAGGACTATTTATTTATATTTTTTATTTGACTGAAGAAGCTGAGATTAGCATCAGAATAATATTTAAATGTATTCACAAGTTGGATTTCGGGTCTCTTTGGAGCAGTTTAAATTAATTTAAAATCTAGCTTAGTGTAGCATGCCTGTTTCCTGTATGTTTGGTTATTTTAATTGTGTGTTTTACCAGTAAGAGTCTGTGCAATGTCAGAATGCTGTGTGATTATGTAGACCTCCTGAACCCTCGCTATGCTGTTATCTCAGGTAATCATACAGTGCTGTCAAAGCAGACGTCATCATAGCTTTTTCGTGTATGGCTGTGAATGGCTGCTTTGCTAATCACCACTTCCATCCAGCTGTGTTTTTTTTTCTGCCCCCCTCACCACCATTCATGTCCTGGTTTTAACCACAGGGCTCAGAGTCTGAGTCAGTGAACGGACCGGGCAGAGACAGCGGACTGGCATCGTCTCGCGTCGATCCGTCTGCCACTTTACCGAGCAGAGGCGCGGCAGACTCGGAGCCAGAGACCATGGAGGGGATGCTCTGTCGAAAACAGGAGATGGAGTCTCACATCAAAAAGGCAGCTACCAGGTGAGCGTTGCTATAAGAAGATTTGTTCACGTGCAAAGAGAAAGAAATGCTGACGTGGCTTTAGTTAGCGATATCAATCTGTATGTAGAACAGTTTAACTTTTATCCTGTTCATTTGTTCCCACAGGTCCTGGCAGAATGTGTATTGTGTCCTACGAAAAGGAAGTCTTGGTTTCTATAAAGACGGCAAGAGTGCTAGCAACGGCATTCCATACCACGGAGAAGTTCCCATCAGCTTGGGAGAGGCTGTGTGTGAAATAGCCCATGACTATAAGAAAAGGAAACACGTATTCAAGCTCAGGTGAGAAGACGGACAGCATGAAGTGTCTGAAAGTTAAAGGCCACGGTGAAATAGTAAGATTGGTGTAATAGACGGTAAATTTACCCCTGACTAAGTGTTGACCCTTTCAACCCTGTGACTGCAGGTTAGGGGATGGGAAAGAGTACCTGTTCCAAGCAAAGGATGAGGTGAGATGTACATAACAGGTTTATATTGCTCAAATCATTAAAACACATTTAGGGGAAAATAAAACATAACCAGCCTCTTTTGTGTGTTGAAAGGCGGAGATGAGCTCCTGGATCCAGTCCATCCTTAGCTCCATTCCAAAAGGATCAGGAGACTCGCCTGGAGCTCCACGGCCCCTCAGCCGTGCCATGACGATGCCGCCCATCTCGCCCAGCTCGGGTGAAGCTGGAGGCGTTACCATGCGCAACAAGGATGGGAAAGAGAAGGATCGCGAGAAGAGGTTCAGCTTCTTCGGCAAGAAGAAATAAAACATTTGTAAAATCATGGATGGGAACTAAATTTGTCAAAATTTCAAAAAACTGAGGCAGATATAAAGGAAAGTACAAACAGGTCATACAAACACACTGCTCTCTGTGCAAGCCCCGAGGAATCTGTCAACAGCTGCGTCATGTAGCTGAGAAAAGTTTTTTTTTTTCTCTCTTTTATTCTCTCCCTCTTTGCTGGTTTTATGTGTCACTTATTTTATTACTCATCCAGTCCACATCTCACTTTAACTGCACCCAACAATCAGAGCCCTCACCCTGTTTTGACCAACAGAGGTCATTAGTGTGAGTCAGAACCGGGGGTGGATGTCATTAGCAGAGAGACAGTTCCAGTCTAGCGAACCGGATCCTCCTCTGTAGGAATATTTGCTCTTCAGTGAGTCTTGATTAGCTAACCCTGTTGTGATACTGTTTCTCTAAAAAACAAAAAAACAAAAAAAAAAAGATGATGGTTTTCCACTCTGCTGCATTTTGATTCATTTGCCCAGTTTTAACTGCTCTCTATTAGAAAGGATCACATTACATCTCTTCTTCTGTTCTTGGTATTGATGTTATTAATCTCAATATTATTGATATCATTATTACTATTTATCTTTTTCAGTTGCTGGCTTGACAAAGACTAATTTGATGGTAGATAATCTTGATTTATGTTGTTGAGAGAAGCAAATTTGGTTTTGTGGAGAATGTCAGCTTGCCCTTGTATGTACTATATCTTTTTGTTTTCTTTGTTTTCTTTTTTCCTTTTTTTTATTTTTAGGAATGACAGTTTATGAGGTGTTCTGACAGGAAAATAAAGCTCATTGAATTTTAGCAGTGTGCAGTAAGTGATCACAATTTTCCTTGGAAAAATAATATATATATTTAATAAGTGGTTTTACTATTTTTTTTATCTCTAATTTTGCCTGTATTTGATTCTTTCTTTTTGAATGATCTTTTCTGCTTGATTTTCAACTTTCTTTCTTTTTTCTGTACAAAGCAGAGAAGATTAGTTTTCTAGCGTGTGCATGTGTGTGTGTGTGTGTGTGCGTGGGTGCGTTTGTGTGAGTTGTGGTGCTGTGGACTTTGCATGTTTATGTTTTTTCGGATCAAGCGTGGCCAGATGGATGCTGCTTTTCGGTACTCAGAATCGGTAAACCGGGCAGAAACAGAAATTAATATCACTGGAATGATTTCCCAGAGCTGTGCTTTTCTTTTGGTTTGAAAATATCTTCAGCTGACATCACTAACGATGATCTTCGAGACAATTTGTTATTTGTTTTAGTCATCTGATATCTATTTCCGTTCTCCACCTACTGATGTGAAGGCACGGGGGCAGTGTGTATAGATAAAAAACTGAAGCACAGGGACCTGAGCAGGACAAAAGGAGGGTTGACAGATGGCTTTACGGGTGAAGTGAGGTGCGTGAAGGTGAGACTGGATAGGCACTGAGGAATGCGCTGTGTGCTTTACAACAAAGAGATATGAGCCTGAGCCTTACTTGAACCCACTACAAATACACTAAACCCACTTTTTTTTTTTTTTTTACTCACCAAACGATTGAGTTGTCAAGGAAGTTTTATAAAAAGATACGAAAGTTTGTTTAAAAAGTGACCTGTGGCAATGACCTCGTGTATGTCAGTGGATTGATTTGGCACCAACCCCAGAAAGAGAAGAATGCCCTCAACTCTTTGATCAGCCGTGCACTCCTGAATATGTGGCATGATTTCAACTAGATTTATACTTCCAAGTGTCCAATCTATGCCATCTACATGTGTTAATATACACATACATTGGACTTGATAATTGGAGAGCAAGTAATAATCAGTTGGCGGTGAAAATAAATCAAATGGCGACCTACTATGGATTATGTAAACAAATGATAGGTGTTAGGTTTGCTAGTCTCCTCACATATTGTACATTTCAAATGAAGAGGGCATTTATAGTATATTGTGAATGTAGACACTACAACCTGACATTCTGCCTTCATATTAATTGGTTGGTGTAGTCAGTTACTTATAACCAAGCATGAATTAACTGCTTATAACAGCAAAGATTCAGCAACGGTTTAACAAACAAACATCTGACGGAGTCCCATAAAAGCAAACAAGCTGCAAGTAACTATTTGTGTTGCACTGATATTGAAAGTAGCTTATTAAAGCTGATTAGTGCTTGGATGGGTATACAGTTCCATAAAAGAGTGGTCAGTTCATAGGAATGCCGCAACAAGTCTGGGTTCAGTTAACAGCACGCGGTCCAAATTTATCAAACCTGCCTCGTCTCTTTAACTGTAAGAGTTTGCATTCCTGAGTGTATGGTGGAGCTCCCAGTTAGTTTCAGTCTGAACTACAATGTGGGATCCAGGTGAAAAAAGGTCATTGCATACATAAGCGAGCCAGTGGAGTTTGCAGACATTGTGCACAGTTTTGAATAAAGGAGTCCTTCCCCTTCCAGCGATAACCGCTCTGAACAGTTTCCATCAGATATTAGGCGATCCAAGTTCAAAGGTCACACAGTGTATTTTCTTATCAGCTCATTTGAATGTGAATGATTCAAACCAGTTTGGCCAAATTGGTCATGTGAAGCAAAAATATTTCTCATACTTGACATACTGTACACAAGCTCTCTCTCTCTCTCTTTCACACACTCACGTATTGATACTGCCCTGTATATTTAATGCAGAGTGACCCTGGCAAACCAGTCTTGTGGAAACGTCCTTAGCTGGCTGTGATTTGATGTTGCAAATGGCATCCTTTTAAAATAACATTGTGCTACTGGTGAGCTTTGACCAGAACATGAGAAGTATGTGTTATTGATGTCAAAGAGTTACGTTTTGATTCTAAGAGTATTTGTAACGATGGAGTACTTAATGAAGCAGAAAACCAACTTGTTAAGTATTACACATGATTGAAAACAGACTGGTGACAATTTGAGCTTCCTTTTTTAGAAGAAGGCAGGATCTTTGCTGTCTAGTGGGAGCTTGCATTTTTTCATCCAGTGGTCTGTCTCGCAGCCTGTCCACCTACCTTCATTTCTTTTGACGAATGTCTGTTCCTTCCTCTGTAATTCAGAGCTGTTAATACCACTACTATTATTAATTGCTATTATTATCATTATTGCTACTGTTGTTCCTATTACTACTACTGTTACTAATGCAACTTATTGCAAAAAGTATAACTGCTGTCCATTTTCAGGTACGCGTCTGTGATATCAGACCTTTCCACACGATGTCAGTGTGCTGTGGAGCATTTTCATTACAAATTGAAGATAATGTTTGTTGACTTGTGTATCTACATCTAATATTAGGAATAATAAAACATGGTTTAATCAAGAACGTGATGCTGTTGAATCTTTTATGTTAAGAAAAAAAAGACATTCTTTTCTGTTAGCGCCTGAATGTTTGATTGTTTTGTCACAACACACTCTGACTAAACTCACTTGTGCCTTTTTTTGTCTTTATTGAACATGTAGGATTATCATTCACAGTTCTGCATGCATGACGTCTTTATTTAGCAACTCACAGATCTTGCTTTAGCAGCAAAAACCTCCACGAGACATGTCGTGCAGCTGCTTTTCCTCATTGTATCAATTGACCATCTCCAACGCTTCTGGCTATAGACTGCTTCATAACAAGCTTTGGGGGATTGCAGTGTCTTATTCAGTGTTATTTCTTTCAGTAGACACATGAACACCAAGTTGTCTGCAGCTGTTTTGCTGTTACCTTTGAGTTAGAGACTTGAATTTCATTCTTTTATAGGAAATGAGTTTTAATGTGAATAGATGAACACAGAGGCCATCAGAAATATTTTGTATCCTTTTTTCCAACTTTCTGCAAATATAATGCTTCACTGAAGATGCACAGAGTCCTGTGAAAACCTTCTTTTTCAATGACTGCAGGTTGTTTAGACAGATTGTGCTTGTAGGCTGAGCTTAAGGAATAAAAATTATATATTCATACAGTACTTCATCTGCTACACTTTAAGTATGTTATTCACATTAGAATCATGCATTAAACTGACTGTGGGACTGTGGGAGGAAGCCAGAGTACCCAGAGGAACTCCACGTAGGCACAGAAAGATCATGCAAATTCCCCGACCAGGGTTTAAATAAGGAACCTTGTTGCTGTGTGGTGATGGTGCTAACCACTCAGCCACCCTAGGTGTGGCTTTGTTTCCTGTAGACAAAATTATTTGATATAGTTCTGGTACTGAGCCATGAGCATGTTAAAGTGATTACACCAGTATAATTATGGCAAAAGCACAATTGCTATCTGGTCTTTTGTGACCTTTTGCTTCTATGAAATATGAAAACTGACCGTCACTTTTATCACACAGCCTCCCCCCACATAACTGCTTTGAATAAATGTTAATGTTGGAGTGAAAGCAGACTGTACTCTGCTCTTCCAGCAGATCTTAAACCTCGCTGCTACACATGTCACGCCATTCACCTCCAAGGCTAATTCTTATTTCTCAGAGTTTTTGGTCCATGTTGACATATCATCACACAGCTGCTGCAGATTTGTCAGCTGAACATACATGTTGCAAATCTCCTATTCCTCCACATCCCAAAGGCTCTCTTGGATTTACATCTGGTGGGTGTGGAAGCCTTGTGAGTACAGTTTGAGATGACTTGAGCTTCATGACGTGGTGTTTTATCCTCCTGCAAGCAGCCGATAGAAGACTAGTACACATAAAGGGATGGACATGGTCAGCAACAATACTCAAATAGGTTGTGGTGTTTAGATGATGCTCAGTTTGCAGTTGACACAATCATGTTTCATGTTGTTTAGGCCAAGTTCTGACCCTATCATCTAAATGAAAACAGAAATCAAGACTCATACGACATTGACAAGTTTGTGCAAATTGTTAACCTCAGTTTCCTGTTCTTAGAAAAAAAACCTGTGTGATTTTCTGCTGCTGCAGCCAATCTGCTTCAAGATTTGACACTCGGAGATGCTCTTCTGCATAGCTAGTTTGCAGTGAGTGGTTAATTGAGTTGCTTTTGCTATCCTGTCAGTCTGGCTAGTCACCTCTGACCGCTCACCAGGATCTACAAGGCATTTTTGCCTAGAGAACTGCCACTCATTGAATATTTTCTCCTTTTTGGACCACTCCCAGTAAACCTAGTTGTCTGCCACATTCAGCATCACCTAAATCACTTTTCTTGCCCATTCTGATGTTCAGATTGAACTTCTGCTGGCTGTCTTGACCATTTCTAAATGCCTTAATGCATTGAGCTGCTGCCATGTGACTAGCTGTTTAGATATTTGAATGAAGGTGTACCTAATAAAGTGGCTGATGAGTGTATAAAGAACACCGAACTACATTTTGTGCACTGGAAGCTTTGTAAGTGATTTAAAACATTACTAACATGATTTGCAGCTTGAAATAATAAAACCCCTTGCAATGGCACGGGGCCAGCAGTAGGGGGCAATGTGTTTCACCTTACTCCACCATCTGCCTACAAGTCCTGACAGAGGGCACACATTACCCGGCAACCACTTTCCCAGTGTATCGAAGCAAGATGGCAGCTGTTGTTGAGAATGTTGTCAAACTGTAAGTGTTGGACTTTTCTACTTACCTTACATGTGTGCAGGTGACACACACAGCCATCACATTGTAACGCCTGTACTATCGTACACCCGCTGTCGTTAGTTAGCTTAGCAGCATTCCAGCTGACTTAGTAAGGTTAGCCAGAGGCGTCGGAGCGTCGTGTCTGTTCACATCCTGGAATGGAAGTGTAAGTTAGCAGACACGCAGCTGACGTTTCTGAAACATGGATCACGAGTCAATGTAGACGAACTTGTGTTCATTCAATCCTCCGTGTATTTTTAGCGGTGTGGCGGCCACTTGTGTTTTTGTGACCAAACGGACGCTGTGGTGCTAACGTCAGTTGAGTATGGCAGCTAGGTGTCACGCTAACAAGCTAAAGAGAGTGTAATTGTGCCTAACGTCGTTAGCGAAGGCTGGAGTGGCTGGAGCGACTAGTTTAAAATGAATGAAAATCCCTCGCTGAAGATTTGAACTCGAGAGCCCGGAGCCATAGCCGGTGTTTCCGATTCACATAAAAGAACTGCTTATAAAGTTTAACGTTTCAAAGACCAGAACACTGTATTGTGCTCTAACGTGCTTCCATTTCCGTCGTCTTACATCGTGTAGCCGTACAGCCCGATTCGGGGTTAATGTCACACGCCAGCTTTAACACGCGTACGTCGTACCTCTACCTGCGATAACTGTGGCAGCACAAACATATAAAACTTACCCGACACACATCAAAATATTTTAATTTGCTTCCAAACTTAATTTCCTTGTGAAATAATACTGACAAAGAATGAAAGATGATGTAATCTTGAAACCAAGTCTGTGCTGTCAAAAACATATAAATGAACTGTTGTTTACATGCTAGATGTGCTGGTTTGAATGAGCTGGTATCCTTTATGTATGCACTATGCTATAGTTACATTGACAGAAATATATTCACCTGATTTCTTTTTTTAATTTCTGTCCCCTCTTCCAACCCAAAGAGCCTCCTCCATCAGAAGTTTATTCCTGGTGAAGGGAGATTTAGTTCCCTTTCCATTGGCTTTCTCTTCATAATATATGAAGCTCTTTACCGTATCATGTGAAGAGCCTTTGAGATAACACTGGTGAAATGGGGCTATATGAAATTTTTTTTTTTGCAACTCAATAGCTGTTTAATTTTTTCCCTTTGCAAGAATAATGCACATCAATCAGCATCACTCTACACATAATAAAACCAGAGCCTATAACTCTGCTGCTCTGAGTATTTCTTCATTTCTGTGGTGTCTCTTTCATAAATCCATTTTCTTCTGCTTATTCTTATCATGGTCACAATTAGGGCTGGACCCTATCCCAGCAGGGCCAACACAGAAAGACAGAAAACCGCACTCACATTCGTACCCATGTAAAATTTTGACTCACCAATTAACCCAAACCCCCTCGGTACGTGTCTCTGGGCTGTGGGATGAAGCGTTTTTACATAATCAGACAACATATACGCCACTACAAGAATACGTCAGTACTAGCCAACCCATGTGTGTATCTGGTGTGCTCTCACGCATTTGTGACGGCTTCTTTCTAGTTAATTCACCCTGCCTGAAATGATTTCTCTGGAAAGAAAAGCAAGTGTTCATTTTCGGCTGGACCCCACAGAGCACAGACAGCTTTTTGCAATGTTATTATGGCCTTACAGCAAGTTAAATAATGAAGTCTTTAACTGGAGATTGAAATCTATGAAAAGCTTCTTTAAGGTTTAACACAATTACATGGTTTATTATCTCATCAGGACTGAACTGCTGCCCTCTGGGGGTTCCTGACAGCCTCGAGAGGTGCAGTTGTTGCATCACGAGGTTCTTTGTGCCACCCCCCCCCCCCCTTTTTTTTTTTTCTTTGACACTTGATAGCTTGAGGGAATTGTAAGATGTCTTCCTGTCTCAGTTTGAGTAGCTTCAGCCCTCAGCTTCTTTAAAAGGGATTAAGCAAGCAGCACTCTAACAGTATATTTATGCTATAAACACTGAACACTTGGCTGTGCCTGTGCTTCTACCAAAGCTCGTCGTCGTTGTTGTTGTTGATGCACCAACAAAAGAGCACCTGCTGTTGCACTAAACATTTAGTCTGAAGCACAAAGACTGCTTAGTAGGAGGCAGCAGAGCAAAAAAACACAAGCAGTTTTAAAATAAACTGAGACCGCACTTGTTTTGGAGCGGCAACAGCTGCTGATTTCTGTCTTGGAGCCATAATAGACCTAATGACCAGCATCTGCCTCTGGTTTTGTTTCATCAGGCTGGGAGAGCAGTACTACAGAGATGCCATGGAGCAGTGTCACAACTACAATGCCAGGCTGTGCGCCGAGAGGAGCGTTCGGATGCCGTTCCTGGACTCGCAGACCGGCGTGGCTCAGAGCAACTGTTATATCTGGATGGAGAAAAGACACAGGGGACCAGGTGAGACACCATACATGAGCGTCGAACTGCTCACCTGCGCTAAACGCGTTTAAAGTTGTAAGAGCTGGACAAAATGAGCAGCAGAGAAGTGATCCAGAGGAAGCTGCACAGATGCTGTGAAGCATTCGTTATTAAGATGAGTGATTAAGTGATTAAGATGAATCATCATTTCCGCTGTTTATCAGAATTTCTCGAAGGAGCTACAAATAACCTCAATGCCTTCAAAACAAAGGACTAAATACACCATGCATGCATGTTCAAAATCACAAACAGAGCTTGTGTACTTAATGCAACTCCCTGGCAGCCAGGTGGTGCCTGCTCGTGTTTAAATGCGAAAATAACCGATTCTGAAAAGGACAGTCTAAGAAAATTCAAACGGAGCCTGTGGATTTTTTTTCCCCCTGCCAGTGTGTCAGAACTGTCTGATAACTGTGAACGCCTTCCTGTTCTGCCTTCCCTCAGGCATGGCTCCAGGACAGCTGTACACTTACCCAGCCAGGAGGTGGAGAAAGAAACGAAGATCTCATCCTTCAGAAGACCCCCGGCTTATCTTCCCTCCGGTTAAATCAGGTAGCACAGTAGCTCTGAGCAGCTTAGCTTATTCTCCTATTTTAGTGTGTCAGCATTTAAGGTGGATATCAAAGACTTTGCGGGGATGAACATGTGGTGCTATCTTGTAACAGATATCCATCAATAATTAAATCCAACTTGAATTGTACCTGTGCTTACAGTTGTATGTATCAGTGTTGGTGTTGTTCCTGCTGACTAAGCAGGAGAAAACATGATATGTCGACTAGTTTAAAAGTCAGAAAAGACTCAAAATTGATGCTAATCACGGGGCAAACAAGTATTTGAATGTCGTTGACATGTGTGGCTCTTTGTGCCACGCATAACATAGCTTACACCTTATATCTGATTGGTTTGCTGAGTGCGGCTGACATTAGCAGTGCTAGCACCAGCAGTTTTCTGTCCTTGTGGTTTAACATCCTCATGCTTGTGCAGAATGTGGTCGCACACTGTTCAGAGGGCTGGTTTTGAGGCAGTTTACTCTGACATTGAGTACACACAACGGCTCATTTTCTAGATCAGTGCAGAAACTTGTTTCATGCTGATAGCTCACCGTATCATCTTGTTTGCCACTACACAGAGCTGCAAAATAGGCTGGTTTTACCTCACTAGAATATCCCTAATTATTTTAACCAACTAAAATGTCTGGCACCAACATTTTCAGGTATATTATATTGTGTTTTGCCTTTCCTGATTTCATAGAGCTAGATTTAGGACTGAAGAAGGATGCTCTGTTGTCATCGGATGGCAGCAGCCTGGAGGCCCTGCTGAAGGGGGACTCCTTGGACAAAAGGACATCCGCAGACCTCCGAGGATCTGAGGAGGATTCCAACATGAGTGATTACACCGGAGGCCTGAACCCTGCCGCCCGGATCAGAAAGGTTCTTGTTTTGAGATTTGAAGTAAAGCTGCTATAGATGGAAAAGTGGAATATAATACACCCCATTGTCATGCCTTCCTCATCCCTGTCAACACAGAGAATCATCGAGCCTGACGACTTCCTGGACGACCTTGACGATGAAGACTATGAAGAAGACACGCCTAAAAGAAGAGGCAAAGGGAAAGGGAAGGTAAATAACGGCTGTCGATCGATGCGGTTTCTCGATCCCAAGCATGCGTTTAAGGGCCCGTCTGAGTCTAATAATGTGCGCAGGGCCGAGGAGTGGGCAGCAGCAGGAAGAAGCTGGACACGGCAGCACTGGAGGACCGAGACAAGCCGTACGCCTGTGACAGTGAGTCCTGTTGGCTGAGAGTAGAGCATGTGAATACAGCTCCGAGTAGAAGGTCACCGCAGGTGTTCATAGCTGTAATGTTTATATTAGCTCGAGTCCTCATTAACTATCACATTTTAATTCACCCTCTTCTTTTTCTTTTCATGTGTTCCATCTTTTCTCTGTTCTTCGTTAGACTTCTTATATCTGATATTTACAAAGCTAGTCGATCTGTATTTTTGCCACTATGATGTCATACTTTAATTTACAGGTATTTCCATGTGCAGGGAGAGGAAAAAAAGTCTTCCTCCTTTTTGGTGTTGTCAGACTGCTTGATGTGTTTTGTTTTTTCCTCTTTTGTGAAGCCTTTTCACTTTGAGCTTCAGTGCTCAGTAGGTCATTGCCGACTGACTTGACTGATCCTCTGTCGGTCTGAGTCTCTGTCTGTGCTTTCTCTTCTCCTTCTCTTCTCTTCTCTCTTTCAGACACTCTCAAACAAAAGCATATTTCAAAACCTTCTGAAAGAGGTATACTTCTCTTCATTCCTTTTCACTCCAGTCTGCCGTGTCTTTTGTCTTTGCTGCCTGTTTTTATTTTCTGTCTGTTACCAAGTAGATTTGCTCTTTGTGTAGTTCAGTTCATAAATTAAATGTTCTGTTACACACATCGTCCTGAATTGTAATTAACTACATTTGGAGAGCGTAAATGCCCTGTTATTATATGCTTTACCTAAAGTGTAGTTTGTAATCATGTAATCAGCCACATATACGAGTCATCTCAGCTTACAGAAGATTAGCAGTGGCCTTTAAAAGTTACTTTTTCCACTCAATCTGGCCTTGAACCTCCTACAGATTTTGATAAGCTGGAAGCTAGATCCTGCTGCTGATGTTTTCTTCCCCTTTTGTGAGTGCGTGTGCTGTTTTTCCCCCCTGTGTTATGTTAATTTTGACTGCATTTCTCCTCTTCACCACCTCTGCACCCTGTAAAATCTCATTCCATGTTCCATGTGTTCGCTTGATTTTTGAGTCACTTTAATGTCTGCTTGACTTTATGGGGAGTATTTTGTTTTCTCCCTCCCCCACCAACCCCACCCACACAAAAAATAGTTTCTGTTTGGTTGTTAGCCTCTTGGTTAGATGCTTCCCGAAAGTCGAAGACCTAGGATTGCTGGACTTTTGAGGAAATGAAAATTAGAGAAAGTGTGGAAGTGAAAGAAGAAGTACTGTGTTTGACTGCTATGACAAACATCACACCCACCCTCCCTGTGACAACGGCTTCACACAGTGGCATCTTTGTTCTCCTTTAAGTCAGTAAATCCTCCTTGCACAATCCCACTGGCTTTCTCAACTGTTAAAAGAATACCAGTTCAAATCAGAAACATGATGTTTTGCAAAATGGTCACATGCGTTTCTTAGTTTTGTTTCAGTGCAGTGAGGTCTCGAGTCAAAACACTGTCAATGCTTCTAAGACCCTTAAACTGCAGAAGCTAAAGCCAAGATCAGAGCAGTTCCAGCATATTAGCTGCAGCAGGAGTGGTCGAGATGCTGTCTTATTATTGTGCTTTACTGTAGATTTCGAGCAAAGAGGAAGCTTGTCTCAAGTAAACAAATAAATACATAAATAAAGCATGTTGTTCATCTTTCCTATTATTTCACCGCCAGTTTATCATGTCATTGTGCCAATTTTGATACTCAACAGAAAGCAGGAGACATCAGGAACCTGGTGGGTTCTTAAGTGATTTCTCTTCTCCCTCCCCCATCATCACTTTACCACATGAAAAGTTGTTGACATGTATTGAGAGAAACCACCACACGAGAGTCGTAGCTTTCTGTCTCGCTGTGTCACTAGTCTATGTTGTGTCTAATTTTTTCCTTTATTCACATAGTCAAAGGCATTGTGTCAGTTAAAAAAAAATAGAAATACTAATAGTTGTATCAATAATTGCAAAGTAACTGTTTTTCAGTTACAGCAGTTAAATATGTGCATGATATGAGGCTACATTGTAAGTAGGACACTGCTGCAAGAGTCCTTTGATCATCTTAAGATACTTTTAAAGATGCTAATTATGATAATGTGAACAGTAGGAAGGGTTTCACCCTCCTCATCAGCTTTAAGATGTCCCATGATAGCACTGTAAAGAATAGTCCTTTTCTCCATGAGTCACCTTCACCTTCCTCCACTGACGTGGTAGAAACACCTGATTTGACTGGTCTGTTCTTTGTTTTCATATCATACATGTCGTATTTTGTGGTTTTGGTGGCAGTCTGTGGGAAGCGCTACAAGAACCGTCCTGGCCTGAGCTACCACTACACCCACTCCCACCTGGCCGAGGAGGAGGGTGAGGAGAAAGACGACATGGAAATGAACGAGCCCGCCCTGTCGCTGCCCGAGGAGCCAAAAAGTAAGCGACAGCGGCGCAATGTCGATTCGGAGGAGTCGTCAGTTGATTATCTGAGGTCACAGCGTCGGTGTAACTGATCACTGATATTGGCCTGCATGTTTTCATCTTCCCACGCAGCTCCAAAGAAAGGTCCAGATGGGCTCGCGTTGCCTAATAATTACTGTGATTTCTGTCTGGGAGACTCCAAAACTAATCACAAGACCGGCCAATCAGAGGAGCTGGTGTCCTGCTCTGACTGTGGACGTTCAGGTAAATAAGAGTAGCGATATGAGAAAAGCCACGCAGCAAGTTTTCTTGGAAAGATGTAACGTGTTTAAACGCTTTTCTCGACGCAGGCCACCCCTCCTGCCTGCAGTTCACTCCTGTAATGATGGCCGCCGTCAAGACGTACCGCTGGCAGTGCATAGAGTGCAAATGCTGCAACATGTGCGGCACATCGGAGAATGATGTGAGTCGTCTTTAGAGATTGTTTGCTTGTCTCTTGGTTAAAGTGAGATCTAGGTTGTTTGTGCAGAGAACTGGAGTGTTTTTGTTTTCCAGGATCAGCTTCTGTTCTGCGATGACTGCGATAGAGGCTATCACATGTACTGTCTCAACCCCCCCATGTCTGAACCTCCAGAGGGTAAGTCCACCCTTTTTTTTTTTTTTTTTTTTTTTACTACTTCCTAGAAAAGAATGAATCTGAAGCCCTTTTCACAGATGACCTGCAGCTGCATTTTCTAGACGTCACGCAAAGGTGGTGAATGGGAGATTACAAATGTCTGAGGCATTTATTCTGGACAGGAGCTCGTCTTTAACCCGTCAGCGGCGTTGTGCAAAACGACTCCATGATGTCGGATTGTGTGAATAGAAGAGTGCGTTTACCACACAGGGTATTTCCAGTAATGCGAACGTGGATTATTTCCTGCTGTGTGCTAAATGTAGACGGGACTGCTGTGGAAAATGTCACATCCTGATTCTCTCATTATCACACATGTCCAAAGTTCATGTGTGAATCTTACAGTTCAATAATAGTTGACTGCTTCAGTTCCATGTAATATTTCAGTTAAGTATACAGTTCATGTGATTTGAAAATCATTGCTTTCTATTTTTATTTACAATTTAGAACGTGTGTGTGTGTGTGTGTGTGTGTGTGTGTGTGTGTGTGTGTGTGTGTGTGTGTGTGTGTGTGTGTGTGTGTGTGTGTGTGTGTGTGAGAGTGAACGAGCAGCACTCAGAGCATAAGCCTCCGCCAAGGCAGCTCACTCTCTGGGCATTGTTTACTTTAGGGTAGCATGACAGATGTTTACTTTGATTACACAAACATTATGTAGGAGTAGGTAATGGATAATTGGTATTGATTTTTAAATAACTGAACATGGCAAAAATCCAACAAAGTTGATTTTTTTTTTTTAAGGTTGAGCAAAAGGACATAAAATATCTGCAATCGCAGTCACGCACATAGAGAGCCAAGTTTACACAACCTGGACAAAAGCCTTCGGACAAAGCTGTAATAAATCTGCTTTTATATCAAGTTTTTGTCTCAGCAGCTTCTGAGAGTTGAAGCTC